CGTGCACAGCTTCGATAGCGCTCAAAGTGGGCGAGGGTATTATCGCCTATTCGCAACTTTCAGCGATGGTGGTACCGCGGTGTGAGAATCGCGTTCCCTAGCTCCTGGATGATTGGCTTCGTAATAAAGGTGCTTACCTACACCTTCCTGCCGTGAAAAAAAAAAATCCAGTAAGGCTTTAACATTGCTCGCATATAGCAAAACTAGAATTACTTAAGCGTCGCAGGCCCCGCATCGTACTGCTGTTCTACGGCGATCATCCAGATGACAGCCATTTTGATAGGCGCCAGTGCGCCCTCTATACACCTTTTTCACAAGGGCGCAGCCATCTTGAATGTCGTCACTTCTGGTACGCGGTAAAACATCGTTTTTGATCTCTCCACGCCGCTGGAAGGTGTTAACGAAAAATGCTTGATTGTCACACATTCTTGTTTTGCCTCACCTAGATTTTCTTGCTTATTCCAGGTTGAAATGTTTTATTATTTTCTTCGTCCCGCATACCAGATACGATACGGAACCCACGTGACTAAGAATGCGAGGAAACATAATAAGTCTATAGGCTGTGAAAGTTGCGAATAGCTTTGGCTGCATTGTCACAGAAAGTTAGTTTGTAGACATGGTGCCACTACACAAAGATGGCGGCGCGCCGCCATCTTGGTCCAGTGGGGAGTGGAGCGCGTTCTGAGCATGCGCTGTAGAAGTCTCTTCCGGTGAATACAGTATCAGACGCCGCGTATGCGTCCACAGCCCGGTGTGTTAAACTTACACTAATTGTTTCTTCCGCGTTGTTTTCAGCAATCGGGCGGATTGTACTAAGATATTGAGATGGGCTAGTTGGATATGCATGATATAAAAATTAAATAGCGCAAAGGTTAGGCAAAGGACAGAACATGTCCTTTGTTCTTTGAATCTGCCATGTTTAAAATACATCTGCTGATAAAGATTCACTGTTTTCAAGCCATAGTGATTTAAATCGTATTATTCAAATTTAAATCAAATGAACTTAATTTAAGTCAAACAAAATCCAATTTACTTGATAAAAAAACATGATTTTTTTTCTGTTTAGCGTATCCCCTTGAAACAATGATGGGTCATTGATTGATTAACATACCCCCTGAAAGACTGATGGGTCATTGATTGGTACGACCTCCTGAACGAATGATGGATCTTTCACTGCAGGACGTAGTGTGTGTTTCGCCACGCTTATGGCAGCCGGAGTGAATAATGGACATGGCGTCAATAATTAATAGTGTTAACTATGTGACGCCTTGTCGCTTGCCTGGCTAGGGTAGTCGTGTGCGACGACCGCGTTTTGTATTCGTCTGCTTGTGACAAAGGAATAGACGTTTTACTCAATTAGCTCAAAAAACGTGCGCTAGTGTAGCTACAGGCGCTGCGCGTACTGCCTTCTGCAGCAGTGACTGGTCTAAAAGTAAAAATTCAAAACAAATGCCACTTTTTACGCGCGTTCGTCAACGTCTTACCGCTCATTCACACTGGAAGCGGATCCGCGTTTGCAACCGCTTTGCGAACGCGGATCCGCTTCCAGTGTGAATAAGCGGTTAATGTGGTTGTTTACTTCGTATATTTAATACAGATCAGGCGAACGCGTGCATCGCGTGTACCACGTTCCCAGCAAGCTTTTTGGTGCTCGGGTAATTTAGCAAAATGTCTATGCTGCATCGTGATGTTGTCCGTCTCCGAAGTGTTGCTGCATGGTGTCTTTGTTTGGTTATGTTCACTATATTTAGCCTAGATTTTATCGTGTATATTTTTTTATCTTTCTCATTGACTTTAAAAAGTTTCGTTTGCTATTTGTGATTATTTTATTTTATTTACGAATAGAAAAAACAACTGAGGTTGAGTATAAAAACAACAATTGGGAGTACTTTGTTCCTGTACTCCTACAGTCAGCTATGGTCAAGTGATTGCTTGCGCCAGCCAATCAGATCCCCCGCCCCCCGCGGGAAGTTCACACTCAGTTACCCTCGCCAAGAAAGTATTCTACGTTAAAACCTTAACCACAGTAAACGATCGGATTTTATTGAACAAAAGGAAAGTTAGACTGTGTGTTATCCTGTGTCTTATTTTACCCTAATCTCAGTTGTTTTTTTTTTTCTTTATGTTGATATTGTTATGTTGATCTTTCTTTTTTTCTTCTTTTTCTTTTTCTTTATGTTGATATAACGACTGTTCCCCACGTTTTGCTCTCTATAGGTTATATAGAGAGCAAAACGTGGGGAACAGTCGTTATGAGATCCTCGAGAAACTGCTTCGGGATGACAGTCAGCTTTTCTTTTTTACGATATGAGAGTCCTTTCGAATTCGCTTTGTAATTATTCAAATAAAAAAAATGTTTCTAAAGTTGTTGTATCTGAAATTGTTGCACATGTGAAGCGTTATAGCATCGCGTTACATCGGGTCACGTGACGTTAATTTTCTCGCTAAATTTAACGGGGAAAGTGACGTCACGTGACCTATAGACGAATTCCTTTTCCCCGCTAAATTTAGCGGAGAAGCTGTATTGGTGTGTGCAACATAATGCAACACTGTGCGCCTTGCATTATGGCACGAAATGCGGCTTCACGAGATGCGGCTTCCCGAAATCCGGAGCAACTATAGCCAAAGAACGTTTCACGTTAAATAATCTAATGCAACGGAGTGCAGCGAAACTTTCCACAAATGTGTGTTTAGGGGATGCTTCCTCAAACTAAAACCATGAATGTAGGTTTCTTGGGAAAAAAAAAAGGGAAGGGGGAGGAGAGAGAGGAGGAGGAGGAGGACTGCAAGAAAAGAAAAAAAAACGTTTATTCCCATGCACCTAGAGAAACCCAGCGGAAACAAACCGCGTGTGATTGGCGGCTGCTACACGTAGCAGATAATGACACCTCATGGAACAAAAACTTGAAAACTTCTTCGAGATGAACACTCTACAGCAGATCCAGCAGATCCGAATTTGTGTGTCTGTGGAATACCACCTCAGGATGGTTTCTTTCCCTTTTGCTCCGGTTGCATAGTGAATTACACGTTTCTTTCGTTCCCTTTGATTCCTTTCCGGGAACGCACACTCGGGAAATTCGAATATGACTAATGCACCATCTTAAAGTTACCTTTGTGACAAGTTTCACTACTCTTCGTTCATTATACGGCTATTTTTGCGACTGAATAGCGCTCGGGAAAACCCTGCATACACCTTACACACCCAAAAGAGCAATGCGAGTCTGCGTATCTCTGTTCTTCTCAGCGTTCTGGCATCAATTCTTACCGCTGCGCAGCCAATCACATTGCTGCATCAGCTGATAAGACCGCCGAAGAACGAATCACCGTCAGTGAACATAGGATGTTTCACAACGCCTGAATTTCCATCTCGCGACATCCTTGCTCGGATATAATCACACACTTTCTCGCTTGGGCGCACATATTTATCCGAAAGCGTTAACTTTGTGAGCACTCTTTAAAATCGATCGATTATTTACCCGACTAGGCTGCCAAGCGCCAACACCCCCCCCCCCCCCTTTTTTTCCCCCCTCCAAAAAAAAAAGAACGGGTGCATATATTACTTGGTTGAATATATCAACGTTTTAGATTCTCTGCTGTTCCAGGAACACTTCCGCGTTCCCTCTCCCCCGGTTTCGGACTCTCGCTTTGCTCTTTCATGCAAATATTCCCCCGACCGGCGTTAGCTGTTATATCGAGATTTCTCTCGTGCCGGTGGATCTAGTCGATGGGGATATCCCAATCGTTTACCTGTGGTGATTACAAGCCCCGTCCATACTGCAACTAAAAGGCGCTTTCGCGTTTGTTTATATATACAGGGTGATTCAAGGAGACGCCAGGCTCTTTAAATCGACCGCAAAATTCGGCTTCTTAACCTGTCGCGCTACGATTTTGTGCAACGTTGCCCAGAGATGGTGCTTTTTTTTTTTTTTTTTTTCGTAAAATTTGCAAAGAGCGGATTTACCTGAGAAAAAAGTAAAGACAGAAAAAGGCTTAGCTCCTATGGAAACGCAGCGACGCCACTTGTCTTCAAACAACACGGTACCGTTTCGTACGGGAGACAAGAGATGGCGCAAGCGGTCGTGACGACAACTGTAGCCAACGAACGAGCATACGACGCCGAGAGCCGGCGTATTTAGCAGACAAGGAACTGCAGTTCCTTGTTGTTACCGTGCCTGTTTTTGTTTCTGCGACTGTCGCCGCCTGCGGAACGCGCGCCGCTTTTGAGTCGAAAAGATTGTCTGCTAAAGAAGCCGGCTCTTGGCGCCGTATGCTCGTTCGTTGGCGGCGTTCGTTGCGCCATCTCTTGTCTCCCGTGCGAAACGGCGCCGTGTTGTTTGAAGACCGGTGGCGTCGCTGCGTTTCCATAGGAGCTAAGCCTTTTTCTTTTTTTACTTTTTCCTCAGGTAAAATCGCTCTTTGCAAATTTTACAGAAAAAAAAATGCACCATCTGTGGGCAACGCTGCACAAAGTCGTAGCCCGATAGGTTAAGAAACCGAATCTTGCGGTCGATTTAAAGAGCCTGGTGTCTCCTTGAATCACCCTGTATATATATATATATATATATATATATATATATATATATATATATATATATATATATATATATATATATATATACACACACGGTAGGCGGGTGTTTTCGCTTTTTTATTGTGTGAAATCGCAGCGAAGCAAAGGTTGGAGTTGGCGAACGCTTTTTCGCGTTCTCGAGTGCAGAGGTATGTTGTGCGCAAAATAAGTCATTCCACTGTTCGAGCTCTGCTCCATTAAGATGGACCGCAGCGGACCCTACGAGGCATCGGAGCCAATCGAAAGTTGAGAGCGTGACACGCGACCTTCCGGTTGGGCACAATGCTCGCAGCGCTTTAAGTCACGGGACGCTCCCTCGGCGCTCGATTGGCTTCGGTGGCACATAGTGCCCGCTGCGGTCCATCTGAAGTGCTGCGCGCATGCGCATAAAGGCCGTCTCCGGAAATTGCTCTGCGCACGCTTCAGGTCGAAGTCCTCCTCGATTGAGGCGTTCACGACGTGCACGTCTCGCTGACGGCAAGCGGACACCCCGAAACCTGGAGTCTCGACTTTCTCCCCGTCACATCAACAAAAACAAATCGGCGCCCTCGCTGAACCCGCTTCTCCGCGTGTACCACGCGCAGGAAGTTCATGACGCCGTCAACGCTGCCGATATCGCCGGTATCGTTGGCTAGGCACTCGACGCCCTGATAAGCCTCTCAGGTACAGCGGAGAGCCTCCGACCTCACGAGGGGGCGAGCACGCTGGACGGGTGGAGGAGGGAGACAGCGGAACGCAGAGCCGTTATCGGTTGCTATCGGAAACGCGCGTTTATTTCACGGCGGTTGCTCGACTCGAGTTTAGGCACACCAGCGGCGACCCCGGTGTCTTGGATCGGGCGTCCGCCATGAGTTTCTTCGACGTTCGGAAATGGTACAGCTTCCTGAGTCTAAAGGAGTCGCCGGGCGAGCGCAGGGAGTACGCGCCGCGCTACGTCCACGACGAACGCTACGTCGACGGCGCGACGTACGACTCCCGCTGGGACTGGGACAGAAGCCTGAGGGCGCGGCCGCGGCCATCGCGCCTCAGGTCGGCGTCGTCCGAGCGGGCGCTGACGGAAGACCCGCGACCCGCGACGCCTCGGAGCTACCTCAAGAGAGTCGGCCGCAGCGAGGGCAGCGTGAGCGGCAGCCTCGCCGGCACCGACGTCCTTTCGACGAGTTGGGAAGCAGAGACCCCCAGGTCGGAGCGGAACCGTAGGGACCCTCCGGTGTTCCCGGAACCGGACGACAATGAAGCTTCACCCGGGTACGAGACCTTCGGCAGGGTCGCCGTAAAGGAGCGTCCAAAATGGGGTCACTCTCAACCGAAGACTGCAGAGTTTCCTCCCCCTGGTCAGCTTGAAAAGCGAACTGAAGATCAGGGACACCTGGAGCAAGCCTCGCTTGGATATGAAACCTCTGCCCGGATGGTTGCAGAGGAGTGTCCAAAACGTGGCCAGTCCCAACCAAAGACTTCAGAGTTTCCTTCCAATAGTCGACCTGAAAAGCAAACTGAAGATCGGGGTCAGTTGGAGCATCCAGCACAGAAGCAGGACATTGTTGTGGAAGCGAAGAACGATCCACAGCTCCATGACCTAGAGGGTTCACCCCCTCGATCATTGAAACGGTGGGGCAAGAAGTCATTTGGCTTTGGAAAAGAAAAAGCCGTTTATGCAAAAGTGCTCAAGGAGAAGAACAGCAACCGTATAACTAGCGACCATAGTGAAGTGCCTCCTGAGGAACCAAAAGTAGGTCACGGTTCTGTGGACGTTCCTGCGCAGTCCCACGTGCCGCCGGTGCCCCTTAAAATCTGGGAGAGTGAGCAGCCTGTAGACTTCCAACATTCGGGAGCCTTGGTAAAGAATATCAAGGAGGGTCACCGCAGTGATCCAGCAAAAACACAAGGCTCAATTCTGCACCCACATAAGCCAGAGGTACCTTCACAAGCTCTCCATCAAGAGAGAAACATAATCCCCACGGAGGTATCTTATGATCATGTCAACGTGGAGGCTCAACGCCATGCAGCAGTTCCTGTTCCTGGTGAAGCTGACAATCTTCCTCATGCTTCTCCCAATAAGAGTCCAAGTAAGAAAAAAAGTTTCTTCAAATTGCCCTCATTAAGAAAGAAGAGCAAGTCCTCGGTGCTGAGTGTTGAAGACACCGCCATTACCACCGACCCTACCACTCCTGAAGCTGGAGTGCAAGTTGTGATTCCATCCTTTGAGGAAATCCTGGCAGAACTTCGAAGAGAACACCTGCAAAAGCAAGCTGAGACTTGGCAAGAACTTGAATCGGTGCCACCTCGAAACCAACTGAAGAAGGTTCCTCCACCGGTACCACCAAAGACATGGAAGGAGGGTGCAGAAAGCACCCCTCCCACTGAAAGGGTTTCAAAATGTGATGTCCCAAAACGTGATGTTCCAAAACATAATGTTGCAAGACTTGATATCCCAAAAGATGATGTCCCAAAATATCCCACAATGATTCCAGTCGCCAAGCCTTGGATCTCCGAGGAAACAGCTCCGACATTGGAAACTGTGGACACAAGTCCTCTGGTGGAGCCCACTATGAGCTCTTTCTTTGTGAGGGAACATGAGGTCACAGTACTGCAAAGAAGACTTGAGCTGACCCCACAGACACTGAGCATGTCAGATAGCTTGTCCAGTGGCCCTTTTGACCACTATGATGATGTCCCTGATGCAGCTCCCCAGAGAAAGCACCATCTTCGTATTCAAGTTGGGACGGCTGAAACTGACAGCAGGCGCAGAGGTTTTGTTGAAACAATGCATCGCAGCTTCAATGGTGGCAGAGATAATGTGGAAAGTGGCTTGTATGAAAGTATTGACCTAACGGCAGAATCAGCACAGGTGCAAATAGATGATACCGGTGGTTCAAGTTTTCAGTTACGTTCCCAAATTTTGCCACAGGAGCTAAGGAAAACATCTAAGGATTCTGGCAAAAAGAAACTGTTCAAGTTCAAACTGAAGAAACGAAAGCAGTCGGAAGATAGTTTCGTGGCCACAACTTCTGCAGCCGCAGCATTAGGCGAGGAGCCCTCTGAGGAACAGCTGGAGGACATCGAGAGGCAAGGAAGCATTGTGGTTCCAAGCAGGCCCCCTCAAGGCACCGTTTTTGAGTCCCTTCCAGCAGACGTTTCGGCCACTGAAGCACTGTCCGACGATCCCGAGGAAACAAGAAAGGGCAAGGAGAGACGGTTCAGCTTGAAACTGAACTCCATGAGGAAGAAAAAGACAGACGAGAGGATGAAGAAGCGAGGCTCTCTTGAGTTGCCAGGTCCCACGCATGGGCCTCCCAGTTACAAAGAAAACATGATTGACACTTACCTGCGCTCATTGGCAATGCAGCCGGCTCCTAAGACACATTGTGACTCCAGTGATGACCGCTTTGTAAGCTGAAAGTTCCATGTCTCCCATCCACTTGTTGCTCGTCTGCTGCACTGCTATTGCAACTGCCTTACAATATTTTTATTTCCATTTTCTTTTCCATCCCATCTCTTTCTTGCAATGCAAATAAAGACTATGGACACTTTGTCCTGTTTTCTAATTTTTGAACTCGTTTGTTTCATTTTGGCGGCCCCAAAATTGAGGGCTCGCTGAACTTGTTTTAAAAAAAATCCTATCTTTTAAAGGAATAGTGTTAAGATGAGACAGTTTTCAGTAAGGGGGTTTTTGCATCTGAAGAATTTCACATATCATTTGTTAACAGTGAAGAACAGTTTTATCTTTAAATCTTCTTTCCTTCTAAGTCTGTAGCATCAAGCCTGAGCTATGCTCATGTAGTTTGTGAATGAGGCATTGTCTTATGGCAACATTGAGTTCATTTACCTGTCATGCTATCACTGCTATCTTTTGGCTAGCTTCAAGCTGATTACCTGCAGTGTCGTTGCTAAACAGTGCAGTGATATAAACCCTGATGTTGATGGCCATATGTTTTTCCTTTCAGCAAACAAATGGGGAAGATGGCTGGGAATTTGAAGAAATCACGCTGGAAAGGGTGAGGGTAATGATCTCCTTTTATTACCTCTTCTATTTTTCTGTCTTGCTGCAAATCCCAGAAGGATTCTATAAGATGTTCAGGGGTAGGAGAGGTAGAGGAGATGAGAATGTGCACTGGGGGAACCACTGCCCATATATTGTGGGTTATCCTTTTCTAGATGACCATATATTTTAATATACTAGTTGCTTGCATTAAGAGTTAACAGTATTTTTTGCACTACATGAATTGACTACAAAACAGAGAGCTCAGGCTCCGCTGACCCATGCTAACACAAAGCTTAATTATAAAATGGAAAAGTTTCAAAATGTAATGTTATTATATTCTAAAGTTGCAAGCTATTTCTGGAAATTTTTAATTTTAAAATTATATCCACATTACTTACAAATGCATGGAGACAGATGTCGCCAATAACTTACTCCATCATTTTATATTGAACGTTTTTAAAAACCTATTTTAATATTTGTATTTAACAGAGATGAGTTTTTATATTGCACAATTTTAAGAGGAATTTTGAGCTTTCCACTCTCTATTGTTATTTTTGGGAAGCTAAAAATTGTCTTTCAAACACTCTTTATTGCAGTTCAATTAGACCTAAGATGACAGTCTTTTACTAATGTTTGTGCACACTATATCTTCTTTATTTGCAATACATTTTGTTCACTTTTTTCTAGGTAAGGAGTTTCTGAATACCTGAAGTATTTATGGTCAATAAATGTTTTGTACCCATTTATCGATAAGAAAAATGACACCACAGAAAATGTTTATAATTGTTCAAGTGATTCTCAATGGAGTAATGAAACATCATATCCTTCATAATAGCCTACCAAATCTGAGTGAAGTCATGGAAATTTATTATAGCCTACGTTTCTCTTATAAAGGAACTGCCTGTATATATGACACTTTTGAAGTCGTGGTCTTAGTTGCTTATTATTTTTCTCGTAATAATTCACTTCACATACAGTCATGCACTGTAGCTATAAAGTACACCCAGGGTTGGACTTACCGATAGGCTGAGTAGGCTTATCGGTAAGCCTATCGGGCGGCAGAATTTCGGGGGCGACCAATTATCTACTTCTGAATTTTGCTACTTTGGAAATTCTAGCCTAAATCTAGCTACATTAGAAAATTTTATCTCCACCCTTAGTTACTAATAGGCTGAGTAGGCAGCTGACTAGTTTGGTAGAATTTTGGGACATCCAATTTGTGGCTGCCCCCAAATTAATTGGTTCTTTTTTTTTTTTTAATCTAGCTCTGAATTTAGATTTTTTGGAAATTCTAGCTTTAAATATAGCTGATTTTGAAAATTTTAACTTCGCTCCCAATGGTCACTGATCATGGGAAGTGGGGAGGGGGGAAGGGGTGTGAGAGGTGGCTCTGTTAAAGGCTGCCTAGGGCAGCAAAATGCTAAGTCCACCTCTGAGTACACTTGTAAAAGTTTTAACATTTAGAACAACTGACAAGAATTTAAATCTTTACCTAAAGACATGTTGCTCCAAGAATTAATAATTGGAGTGTCAACGCAAGTTTCATTCCCCCATTTTGGTAAAGCAAGGTTCTGACTTCAGAATGTTAAAAATAACAGCAACATGCAATGTTGCCAATATTAACTATTGCATATTCAGATAAATCATTGTTGTATAGTTAACTAAGAAACAAGCGGATGCAGTTTTAGAAAGTTGATGCAGGGAACAGCAACTCTGCTGAAATGATTGCGGATAGTATTGGCGGCATGCACGAACTACAGGGGGCACTTCTCTACCTATTATCATCATTGTTTGTGACGTCACAAGTAGGACAGTCTGGGACAGACCGCACAGATCCTAAATCTCTCGGCTTGTCAGCTCGCTTCATACGTTATTTGTGTATGTGCGGCAAAGCCTGTTTCACGCTTTGTGTTTATTTGTGAAGTGATATTTGTAGAGGACATTTTACTAAAGCCTAAAAACATGGCACTCGTAGTCATGCTTACAAACACTCTTGGCGCTGAGCTGTCAAAGCGCTCGGATGGTGGTGTGCTGTTCTCTACCCCAGTACAAAAAGCTGGATGATGAAAATAGCATATCCAGCTCTTTACCCCACTACAACACGTACCACGGCGAATGGGGTGCATTTTTTAATTCTGACTTGGACAAAATAAAACAGAAAATTATGTCTCATCAAATTGAATATAGGAAAGTGAAATTCGAGAACCTCTCGCGTGTGTTCTAAATACTTCAGTGAAAGGGTCTTTGTGTATCCTGTTGGTTAAAATTTGTTTTGCGAGTGCTGGATTCTTATTAGTTTCAAGTTGGTTCTTTTTTGAAATTTGTAAACCAGTAAACAAACATTTTCTCAAAATAATTGGCAGGAAGAAGCGGTGGCTGGCTGCTGGAGTCGTTTCAATTAAATCCCTGCTTATTCACCCGGTCAACGTGAAATGCGCGAGACCCCCTCACAATCAATTTCTTAAATCTAATAAGTCGGTGGCATCAGCGTCCCGAAAAATGAGGTATACACCTGGGGGGGGCTGTGTTCGACAAATGTTTTGTCTTTCCTAAAAAGAAACTGAAGTGACAATATCACGTCTGATTGGTTAGAGGCTCAAATGACAAAAGTTCTCTCTTGCGTCATTTGAGCCTCTAACCAATCAGACGCGACATTGTCACTTCTGTCACTTCCGTTTTTTTTAGGAGAAACGTAACATTTGTCGAACATAGCCCCCCTGCTATGAGTTACTACCGCTTGTATGTTTAATTTTGCTGACCCAAATGGCGCAAAATGCATGATGCACTCCTCAGCAAGCGATTTTAAATTTGTTAACGATTCGTAGTTGGATAGAACAAATAAATCAATCGCCTGCATTTTTTGGGTCATGTCTGACAACTTAAGAATTTATGAAAATTTCTGTTTATCTTTTGAGCAGAAGTTGCAATGTGACAAATTTCTTTGCCATTAATTCGATGCGGGAGGAGCTAAACATCAGTTGCTGACGATCATTTGCTCGTCAGCAACTGTCGAGTCACACTTGGACAGGAGCGTCGGTATCGGCAAGCTCAGTGTACCGCAAACAAGTGTGCGGCGCTTTGCAACACAACTGTGTGCACGTGTGCAGCTAAGATGACAGAACATCATTTACCTTGGTGAATAAAAAACCTTTTTGTACAAGAGCCTCCACAGATCTGGAAAAATATAAAAACAAGAATTAGAGAGGCTGTGAATAGCCCTGACTCATACCGTGCAAGCTGTAATGTGATGCTCCAGGCTATTTCTTGAATATTTTAAAGTTTTTAATATAAAAGCAATTTCGAGGCACTGTTATTTATTAAAAAGATCACTCACAAAAACGTCATACACGTTTCTTTAATAAATAAACCGTTTTTAATTGGATAGATGCGAATTAACATAGCCACTCCAGGTTTTGACAGAGCGTGTCGTCTGCTTACATCCTACCAGAGCTGTCACAGGAGGGTGCCTGCGAGGTGGCACCACCAAAACATCTTGTCGCCAATATAGAAAGGTTTTCATAATTTTGCAAACTATCCTGATGTCTATCAGAATTTTTTTTCTTTAGATTTGGTCTATTCAGATATTGTACCTAACAGGAAATTAATTGGCATCTCTATGGGGAACTTTCGATTGCATCAGAGTTTATCACAGTCCTTACCAGGAGTACACTATATGTTGGTTCATTATATTTTAGTTGTGTGTGTTTGTTTTTGTTTTTTTTCATGTATGCAGTTGCATAAGCAATATATACCTTTTTATTAAAAAAAAACAAAGCAGCAAGATATAAGATTGCTTGCAAATAGTGCTTAAGAATTAAGTAGTAGTGAATATAAAAGCCTGGTTTTAAAAATGTGATTGCTAGTTTTTAGAATTTACCTGCTTTGGTCTTGATATAATCAAGCTTCTGCAATTTTTCGTGGTGCTGCAGAAATTTTACTTTGCTTAGGTGTGTGGGCTTCTGATGCTCGTATTTTAAACATACGCAAGCAGAACCAATTTCCTCTATACTATAGTCGGTTACAGGTTAAGAAGGTAGTGGTAAATGCACCTCAAAGGGACTCATATATCCCTCTGCCACCTCCGCATCCAATAGCGTCCCATCGTTCCCGTGACGTCGCGGCCAACGCGCGAGGAGGGTCTCGCCTTTCTGTACATATTTGCTTTATCTTTCAACTTTGACTTAGCATTGTGGAAGCCACGAGGGGGAAATTAGAGTTTCCCTCCTCCGATGGAAACAAATACGACTTTCGGGGATTAGCTTCCCCCTCCGATGGATACAAAGGCTTCTTTCAGGGGCTCGGTTCCCCCTCCAATGAATACAAAGGTCGCTTTCTTAAAAAGTGGGATCGGAGACAAGTTGGAATCCATTGAAGCGGAACAAGGAGCATTTCCACTGAACTCTTCTTTCGACTGCGGAGAAATTTGAAACGGGCGCATCACGCTTGTGAGAGGAGCTTCTCCTACCTTCTTGACTTGTAACCGACTATAGTACAGAAAGTGGCCACCAGGGCAGCGACACTGTTCCTGGAACTGGGGAGTTTAGTAAATTGCTCTTTCATACTTTAATAGGAAAATGGGTTACAATAAATGGTTGAAACCATAACTCTGGGTAGAGCAATGATTCAAACTATGAATTGTAATTATGTTCTTTTTGCAGTCTCAAAGCACAGTTCAAGCAACGGTACCACCACCCTGGTGGTCATTTCCTGCACTAGCATAGTGGGGATTGGTTTTGTTTGTGTCATTCTGCCTGGCATTGTATTTGTTGTGGGCTATTTCGAAGTTAAGTGTACTCATTAATTCGCATACACTTCTTGCCCTTCAGGGAGGAGCTGGCCTTGGGTTCAGCATTGCCGGAGGCACTGACAACCCTCACATAGGAGAGGATCCCAGCATCTACATTACCAAGCTCATTCCCGGTGGTGCGGCTGCTGCTGACGGAAGGCTACAGTGAGTGTTGCCACTGGGAGGGGATGCTTTTTTGTTTTACCGCAAAGCTGTTAAGGGCTAGTTTCCCCAGTATCGCGTTCGTGGGCGAGCAAATCTCGATGCAAAACTCTGGACAGCTACCGCCATCTATAAGCGATGGCAGCAACCAGACAACCGGTAACTAGACAACCGACTTGCCTGTTGTCTGGTTGTTGCCGTCGCTCATACATGGCGGCAACCTTTCCAGCCTTTCCACTCTTACTTGCCAAATTGCGGCCGGCCATTACTTCATTCCCACCATAGTACAGCTTCGCTGGTCTTCCTTCTTCACTAGAGTGGAAAGGCTGAAAGTTCTTTTTGTTAATATGTTTTCATGAAAATTTGAATAATGTTTAATTGCTATCTGCCGTAATGTACCGGGGGGAAGCGCCCACCCCACTTTCACTGAAAAGTGGGCTAATTTAGACATGGGCACTTTTCTGGCTAGATTAGTAATAGCCAAGATGGCGGCCAATAAAGATCTTCGAAGGCAAGGTGAACGGAATCAGAGAAAGCACATTTATTTTCACACAATATCCCCGTCATCACTGCTGGCTGTCTCGTGGCTGCCTCAACGGGGTGAATATTTTCGACTGATGCCTGCGCTTTGGTGGGGGTGGGTGATTAACGTAATATTTTCAGAATTCCTAAGTATGGGAGTTGGCACTTTGTATAAAGTGGGCGCCTCCGCGGTATTTTACAATGGCTTCTTTTTTTCATATTTGATATATACCGTAGAATACCGCGCATCCACCCATTCCAAACTAAGCGCCCATACCCAAATTTGTAAGATCTGAGAAAATATGCACAGTACATTGATATGTAAAATTGATGACCGGACAAGCACCCATCCCCCATTTTTTTCCGATTATCTCTAAGTTTTGAGTGGGTGCGTGCCCGGTATTTTACGGTAGATTAATGTTTTGCCCTTAGCTTTTCTGTTCAAATGTTTAACCTCTATTGACGAAAAGTGTTTAAGTTCTATTGAGGATGTAATAATAATAAAAGTAATGTTTTATTTTCTGTACCCCCGAACAACCTTTCGGTCTACCATCTGTTGCACAATAAATGATTGAGATACTCTATACAGGGCGTTTCCTCGACGACTGAGAATAGTTATTAAAAACAAAAAAGGATTGACCGCGGCGGACGTCAGGGTAGGAATGAAAAGTGATAACTATAACGACATAATTACATGAAATTTACTCATTAGCTTTATAATAATTAGCCTTGTCTGGCACATTCCAGTTAGATTTGTTGCATCATTCAAATATTATACCGGGTGTTTTTGCGAAGACTTTCAAAAATCCTAAAAATTAGGGCGATTGAAAAAAGAAGAAACTTCCTTCACGAACAAACTACCAGCCATGGCGGACATCAGGAATTGCCAAAAACCTACTAATTAGCCAGATAATTAATTAAAACTTGTTAATTAACTTTTTAATTAGGGGAAATAGACATATGGTTCCAATTAGAAAGTTGCTGAGCGTTATCGAAAACCACTAAATCAGTCATTTTCAGAAAGACTTTGAGCGCGTGAGATGAGTAGTAGCGCACTAAAGTTACCACTCGTGGAGCAGGTACAAGGCTAGCGGTTGCGGTAAGGCTCCCGCGCAATTTTTCCGCCTCTTATCTAGCCCCAGCCTTGTACCTGCTCCATGAGTGGTAATTTTAGTGCGCTACTACTCTTCTCAAGCGCTTAAAGTCTTTCTGAAAATGACTGATTTAGTGGTTTTCGATAATGCTCAGCAACTTTCTAATTGGAATCATATGTCTATTTCCACTGATTAAAAAGTTAATTAACAAGTTTTAATTAATTATCTGGCTAATTAGTAGGTTTTTGGCAATTCCTGACGTCCTCCGTGGCTGGTAGTTTGTTCCCGAAAAGAGTTTCTTCTTTTTTCAATCGCCCTAATTTTTAGAATTTTTGAAAGTCTTCGCAAAAACACCCGGTATATCAATTGCTGAAAGTTGAAAACTTGCCATGCTTTTTTGTACTACTAAGTGATGAAGTTAGAGTGTCCAGAGTCAGCCATACCAAAACTAAGGGGCGAAAAAATGCCCCGAAGGATATGCGCCTCAGGAGGCATCAGAGGGTGGCGTGCCTTTTTTATGACCTTGTGTCCTTTAAAAAATGCGACACTGCCGGACTGGGCTCGCAATATCCCGGCTTCGGGGGTTGACGGTAGAGCTTTCATTGCTCTTTTGCATTTTAGTTTTGGAATCTCAGTCTCCTCACGGCTTAAATTTGCCAGAGAATAGCTCGTAGCAGGATTTGGTTGTCCAAAGTCTTGCAACAGCTATGTCATGTCTTGACGACAGGTAGCAAATCTCTATTTGGAATGTGCCAGATAAGGTGAAAATTTAAAAAGTTAATTATTGGAGTTATATATTATTGGAGGTAGTTATATTGCTAATTATCGCTTTTTATTCTGACCCCGATGTCTGCCATGGTCGATATATTGCCCTAAAGGAATGATTTCTTTTACTTTGACTGCCCTTCCTTGTTAAACCAAGTATGGTTGTTGGTGGAACCCCCTGTCTGATGAAAACCAGAAACCCACAACACAACTGAGTCAAAAAATGTACATGCTAAATAATGGTCTCAATCAAGTGCACTCTAATTGTGAAAAAGATGGCACTATTTAAAATGAAATTCAAAATAGGGCACTGTCGATGAAGCAGCCATGTAAATACTAGATTATTTGTAAGACAATAGCAATATGTGCTTATTCTGTGACCTGTAGTTCTAAAAAAATTGAACTTTTTTTTCTAGTGTTTCTTGTAGTACTCCAATTTAGGTGTCTCATTAATATGGACCTCATTAATGTGGATACCCTATTGAGACAGAATTTCTGTACACAAACTCGGTGAATATATGAGCTTTTGTCTTATGGGCAACTCACATAATGGGCACTTTTTGAGGGAATGGAGGTGTCCATATTAATGAGACATGACTCTATGCATAAATAGGTGGTGAGGTAATTTTGCTCTTTCTTCTTTCTAAATGTGCAGAGTCAACGACATAATTCTACGAGTGAATGATGTTGACCTCATAGATGTTCCACATTCCGTAGCAGTCGAGGCACTCAAGAGAGCTGGCAATTCAGTTCATTTGGTGAGTTGCCCATCTTTGGCCGTTTATTCCATACATACCTAAGAGCCAGACATTATTGTTGATTGCATTCTACAGGCATTGTGAGTATTGCCTCTACCAAGTTTTAAATTTACAGTTATCACCCATTGTAGTTACTAGTTCGAAGTTATTATTCATTTAACATCACTGTTCTTAATCATTTACAGTTATCACTGGAGCGTTTCAGCAAATGTGGCTATGAACATTTAAAAATCCTGTTAATAAGATGACTGCATGCGACAAACTTTATTCATCCAATGGTGGGCACAGGCCCATATTTCTAGCTTCTAAAACTTTATGCATTGCACATATACTTCAATAACATGCCAGCATTCCTAGTACCATACAACAGAGGTCGGCATTTCAGGTCGCCCTCATTAACCCTCACCCTCACAACCACATTCACTTAAGCTCCTCACTCACCCTCACACTACACTCACCTTTAGCCCCTCACTCACCCTCATCCTCACAGTCAAACCCACCTTCAGCCCTTCGCTCACCCTCACTGAACCTCACGCCCCTCACGCACTCACCACCCTCACGGCCCTCACGGTCCTCACAGCCCTCACGGCCCTCACTCACCCTCACACTCATGAATTTTCCTGGTTAAAAAACTCACTCACCCTCACCTCACCTGTGAAGATGAGGGTGAGTGAGGGCTCTCATGAGCGAGGTTTGCCAAGGTATGCCATACAAACCATACATGTCACAGTATCCTAGTGTCTGTTTTCAAATACTTGTGCTCCAAAGCATGCATTGTGCCTATGCCTTTGACAGTGCTACATACAACTTGTGAGATGAAGTGTAGGAGACATATTTTGTCTGGCTGCAAATATTTGCTGGGAGAATCAAAGACCTCTACATTTCTGGAAAGAATTGCAGCACTGGTATATGTTTCCGAACATTCTGTGCTCACGGCACATTCTGTCTTATTTTGTTTTAGGCGGCAGCTCTCTTATCTCTTTTTTAGAAACTTAATCCGTCGGATGACCTTTTTTTGTCACTGTGATAGAAAATGTCTGTTATATATTTCAATATGTCAGATAAAAGGTCGGCAGCTTCTTATCAGTAGAGAGCAAGTTGAATGCGGAGACCTGGAGAGGGGGATAGGCTGGAGATTCATAAGGTAAACTTTAGCTGGGCACAAGATAGGAATTTCAAATGACTGAATTTTACGAGTTATTTGGCTTTGAAATAGATTTTGAGTGGTTCTGAACCCAGTTTTTAAAGGGGGAAATTTCACTCTGATATATAATCAAAATCAGTTTGCATAGAGAAACTGTCTCTCCAGGTCACTCCCACTCTGGTCTTTTACTCCCTTCCTTTGTCTTCAAAAATAGCCTATTGTAATAGGTAAAAATAATAGAGAACGTCAATGTTACAGAAGTTGTTTAGTCATTCATTATGATAATGGCATTTATTAACTCTGTGTATGGCAAGAAAGAACAGAGAATTGTTGCTTATTTTAAGTACCAGAAAAGAAACACAGAATGCATTGGTGTCTTTTCTCTTCAGTCAGTACGACAGCGTCTTGTGACTCAAATTTGCACAACCCCCATAAAACATTAGTGACTGGTTCTTTGCATGATTTATGAAGGATAAAAAAAAATGCTCTTTATATTAAGAAAAAAAAAAGAATGTGTCTACGTTTTAATAAAAATTTGTCCACTTTTCAATAAAAATTTGTCTGTGTTTCAATACATTGCCTGCATTTCCAAACTATCTCCACCGAGTCCTCTTTGTCTGGTTTGGCCTAGACTTTATGACTATGTATCCAACCACAGACTGTATAGTCATGCGATGGAATGAAATGAAACTAATTAATTAAATAATGAGTCATGTCCAACTGAATGTTCCCACACAAAGTCGAGTTGTTGGCAGCTTGTCACCTTTACGGTTGTGTGTTTTCCCTCAGTTGGTGAAACGGCAGCGGTACCCGGGGTCGCAGCCTCCCCTGAGCCAACAACAGCAACACACACCCCCCCAGGTGAGGCCGAGGAAATGTTTACACCTTCAGAGGACTACAAAAAATAGGCCAAGTGTCCATCCCTCCTTTTGTTTGCCAAGGAGTTTGGGTTTTACAGGGCACAGTGTAAGGATATATGTGAGGGTATCTCTTGTCCCAGGAGTAAGTCTAACACAAATCGTAGATCAGAAATGAGCAGTTGGAGATTTCTGAATTTCAGAGATACGGTCGCGTAGCACTTCATACACAGAGATGTAGCCGTTTTATGATTCTAAAAGTGTGCTAGTACAGCTGTTTTTGACTTCATCTTGTTATGGCCCTAATACGGTCTACCTACTTTACAAAATCTTAGAAATCCGAAGATTTTTGCGTTCACACAAGCATCTCATTTTCATATAAAATAAGTCTCATACTTTTCCCTTTTTTGCACCAGAAAAGGGAAGGATGTGTTGTCTTGGCACTACAAAAGGATGAACTTTGGAAAGGATGTGAAATTTTGATCTCGCATATGCGAGACGTGTGGGCAAATAATTTGCGGACTGACCTTATGAAGTGGGCATATGTTTGGTCCGTAAAACAATTAAGTCAGAAACTGCTTAGTACATCTTCAGTGCTTTACAAGTCAGTATCATTGGAAACATGTTTGCTGTACAGACCGGTTCCTACGTACAAACTTTCCGATCAATGTTTTAAAAGTTTCAGATTTATGACTGTGGCAAAGTGGTCTCTTTAAATTTTTCGGTCCCTCCTTTAAACTGCATTAATTTCTAAGATTTTCATATGGCTTCCTGCGGCTGTTCACATTCCAGTGCCTAGTTTGTGATCAAACATTCATTTCCTATTTTGTTGAGCTTGAAATTTTAGTATCAGGACCTGGCTCTAAATTTTATTATGATAAGCCATCACTTAAATGTCAAGAATTAAATTCTTTGTCAAGAATAAGCCTCAGCATGCCCTAACCAGTGGTTCTCAACAACTGATGTTTTGGGGACGCTTTCCAGATCAGTGGAAGTGATGAGAGACCCTATCCACTGGGAGGAGCGTATCGGATCATTAGAATGACAAAAAGGGTAAACGAAGAAAACTAAGTGCACGCAAACCAACTTTGAAGCTCCGAAACTGACAATAATCAACTGTACTCAATTGTCGCACATGGTTTGGTCTATTTATCTATGCTTTATTTAACTAGCATAATTAAAAAAGAAAAAGTTTTATTGCTCGGTTTTATTGATGGTTTACGACTTCATAGACCCCAAGAGGGCCTTTAGACACACCCCCATTTGAAAACCAGTGCAGACTCAACTTCGGAAATTCAAAGGACAAACAACAGACACGGGCAAAAATGCACTCACAAGGCCTTGGAAGTTGAGGTTTTGTTTTTAATCAATGGTGAGAGGGCAAACAAGTATTCCTTACCTATTGTAATAATGTAACCTACAGGGTGCGGCCGTAAAAACTTTCACATTTGGCACGCCTAGCAAAAATCGAATTTCAAACGTACATACCTGAAATTGGGCACACGAACGTTGTTAATTCCAAAGTTTTTTGCCTATTTTTTTCAGACGTCAACTCTGGAGTAGCGAATTTTTAGAAAGATAACAAAAATGGCAGACGTGCATTTCCTATGGCCTATACCCGCCCGTTCGCCGTCTGCTATCTAATTGGCGACGCCGCTCCCAGATGGCGTACTGAACGCAAAAACGCGGCAAACGCCGCACAAAAGGCTGGTGTCGGGAGAAATAATCGCGATAAAAAGGGATTTTACCGAAATATGTGAACGATTATGCCCTTTTACTTGAAATTTAAAAACTGGCGGACGCCCTCGTTTAGTAAAAATATGTTCTAAAGCAAACAAACGTGTGTCTTCCTTTGTCGTCTGCTTATCTGTTGACGGGTCCGTTCCCGGTGAAAGCTCAACTTTGAAATCACGAGTGCCGCTGCTGAGGCATCTTGATTGTTCCCATTTATTGTTTTTGTTGCACTATCTTCTGCAGTTATTATCAAAATATTTTCCGCGCCGCCCGGCGATGCCGCAATACTTGGAAAGTGAGTGTGCCCATGCAGTTAAGTGGTACGTGGAGCGGAACTCGTTGGCCACAGCACAACGAAAATTTCGCACTGCATTTCATAAACGCCCGCCTTCACGCCCGACTGTTTTCAGTTGGGTGGATCGTTTTGTTAGTGGAGAAGACTTTAAAAAGAAAAATCCAGTCAGTGAACGTTAGAGCCTGCTGAAAAATGAGGAGCTCATGGAAGCGGTGCTTGCTGTCTTCGAGAGCGACCCGCAATTGTCAACAAGACGAGCAGCTGTAAATAAATGATATCGTCGCATCATGGTGTCTTCTTGCTTGCATGACGATCTGTCAGGACTTGACTTAAAACAGATAATTTCAACAATCGTTCATATATTTCGTTCAAATCGCCTTTTATCGCGATTATCTCGCCCGACACCACCCTTTCGGGCGGCGTTTCCCGCGTTTTTGCGTTCAGTGCGCCACCTGGGAGCGGCGTCGCGAACCAGATAGCAGACGGCGAACGGGCGGGTATAGGCCATAGGAAATACACATCTGCCATTTTTGTTATCTTTCTAATAATTCGCTACTCCAGAGTTGACGTCTGAAAAAAATAGGCAAAAAACTTTGGAATAAACGACGTTCGTGTGCCCAATTTCAGGTATGTATGTTTGAAATTCGATTTTTGCTAGGCGTGCCAAATGTGAAAGTTTTTACGGCCGCACCCTGTATGTCACATTTGTTTACATATCATTTGATTATGAAAGAATAACCATTTTCAAAACTATTCAGTGTGGTGCAAATTTTCATCACTGGCGACAGCAAATTTCCATCACTGGCAACACCATTTCCACCACTGGTGACGAAATCTGTTGTCGTCATCGATTATGAGGACAGAGTTTGGTCTTAAGAAGCATCTATTTCTTCACCTGCTTACAACCTACCCTTGCGCTCGAAGGAATTCTTGTAGTGAAGGGGTCCTGGCATAGCCCTTTGACGCTTAAAGCAAGAAAATAACGGTATAACAAACCCCGTCCCACCGTGAATCTTTCATTTCTTCACTGTATCGTAGCATGCCGTTCTACTCTAGTGTTTTTCGAGCACAAATGTGTCGGAGACCCCTTGGGGACCCGTCAAAGTGATTGGGGACCCCATGGAAGGGGGGGGGGGGGGGGGGGGGCAGGCACGTAGCCAGGGGGGTACCCATGGGGCCCGGCCACCCCCCCCCCCCCCCCCCCCCCCCCCCTTCGAAATTTTCCGTTTTGCTGGGACCTCCTCTCCCTCCTCCCTCTCATACAGCATTTTGTTATGGGCGGGCCCCCCCGCAAAACAAAATCCTGGCTACGTGCCTTGGGGGGGGGGGGGGGGGGGGGGATATAGGTATAATCAGAGGACATCCTGTGCTGTTATAGACAGGAGAAGTGATAAGCATCAAGTAAAAAAGGATGAATGGATGGATATATCGTAATGGCCGTACCCTTTACGACGGGCTGTAGCTTACGCCACTTAGCGAGGGTCACCAAAAACGCAATTTGTTTTTCAAGAAAGAGGGGGGGGGGTTGAGGCAAGGGCTTTGCGAACCCGAAAAATGGCTTCCGCAGAACCCCATTTGAGAACCACTGCTCTGCTCGACGCTTAATGTCCTCTCCCGGATGCAGGTGGTGGAAATCGAGCTAATCAAGGGCAACAAGGGTCTGGGCTTCAGCATCGCGGGTGGCATCGGCAACCAGCACGTGCCAGGCGACGATGGCATCTATGTGACCAAGGTCATGGAAGGCGGTGCGGCTCATCTGGACCGCCGGCTCGAAGTGGGAGACAAGCTTGTCGCTGTGAGCCTCTCCTTCCACCCCCCATCTTGCAAAATCGTACGGGAAGTTGCCACCATGGCGCCTGGAATGCGTCTTCCACCGGTGTGTTTAGCGTCCTATTCCGCCGATGCAGTGGTGCGACAGCGAATTGCGTCACACGAGCCACTGTGTCACAGCATCCGACCTTGCAGTCCCGACAGTTGACCGTAGAAGTTTAGACGGAAAAAGACGAGCGAATGTGAGTGTTTCCGTCATTGTGGCGTCCCATCTCCTGGCTGTCAAAGCCTTCATGGACTGTTTGGGCAGGAGAATGACCTATGTCGGAACAGGTGTCTTCCACCTACACATCTGCTATAGTGCTTGGAACACGGCTTCGACTGGTCTGTTTACCAAGCTCTCAAAAATAATTTCCCGATTTTCATCTTTTTTTTTTGTGGGGGGGGGGGATAAGAGTGTCATGCTATTTTTTGACACTAACGTAGAAGTGGCGTGGCTGTGAAGGTGGATGTGGAAGACGTTTGTCCTGCTGCGGGTTGCTGTTTGGCTTGGCGGTTCACGGAAGCTTTGGCATGCCCCGAGTTGGGACGGCGACTTTGTGCTCTCTCACGCTTCTTGCCGGAACTTGTACGACCGACCTCCAGAACCGCTACCTTCAATGGCATGACACTCCGGCTTTCGTGACGTCATAGTTTGCAACTTCGAGAGCCCTTTTGACGCGTGGGTGGAATAGGACGCTTTACACGCCGGTCGAGGACACGTTCTGGGTTCTGTCATCGTCCAACCAACGGGATTGCAACGGGCAACGACATGACATACATGTGGTGTCATCAGGCGCAGATTGAGGGACCACGGACTAAACCGCGCAGACATATTGCAGGTACAGTTGACTCTCGATAATTCGAAGCTCACAGGGACAGCAAAACGCTTCACATTCAACACCACTTTGAGTTTGAAAAATGAATACTCTGACCATTTTTTTTTTTACTCATTACTCACCGGGAGAAGTTGGTTTTTGCTTGCCTCCGCTAGCAACGATGCACAGTATTAGCCATGCTCTGGAAATCGCAAACCTTTCTCAGGTGCCTTTGGCAGTTTCTTTGTCAAATAAGATGCAAAATGTACTCCCTGGTGCCGCAAGCAGCTGGTGTCAGTGGCACTCGGCCACTCGGCACTGAAAGTGACGTGATTGTTCGTACGCTTAACTACTTGCACCATGTCACCGTCCAAAAGCGGACCGCAGACCTTAGTGTGTTTCTTGGCAGCAATATATTTGATGAACAAAACATCATATCTCTGTGGTAATGCCTCGCGATCGAGCCAAGTTTTGTTGGCCGTATGTGCTACGTGGCCGCGCTCGCTTTCGGAACTTTCGTGGGAACGATGCCGTGATGCGCGCGCCTGCAGCCAGGCTGACTTATTTCGTGTATGCGTAAACTATGAGGAGGCCAGTATGACCTTTAGTCAGTGTGTCCTAGCTCTTTCCTGATCATTCTAGGTGGAACATTCGAGATGACGAGCATAGTAGATAAAGAACCGAGCGTCGCCGTATTGATTCTCTCTCGCAATAGCCAGCTGTTACACTAAAGTACCGTCGCTTGCTGCTGCCGCCGCCGACACCCGCTGCTGCTTTCTTGATGTCGGTTCTTCTCTTTTTTCGTTTCTGGTGCAAGTTCGCATCCATTAAATCTTTAGTTCATTCCGTTTTCTCCTGCCTCTTTGTCTGTCATTTGCAGGGGCGGATCCAGAATTCCATTTTGGGGGCGGGGGGGGGGGGGAATTTGTAAGGATACTATTTTCCCATTCTTTCGTGTGCACCGGGGGGTCCACCCATGTCAAATGGCCGTCCGAGAATGAGGGAGAGGGGGAGGTCGACTCTGTTTGGAGGGGGGGGGGGGGCGCCCCCGTCGCCCCCCCCCCCTTGGATCTGCCCCCTGGTCATTTGTGACATTTCATTCGTCGTTTCATTTGTTTTCTCTTGCCTTTCGTCTGTCATTTGTGACATCATCATAGACACACTCATATTGTCATTCCTGACAATATGAGTGTGTCTAAATGATGCTCTGCTTCTCTACTGCTAATACTAGCATTGCTTTTCTAGTGTGCTGTTTTCCACATCACAGTTTTTGTCAACTGAGAACAAGCTTCTGGAAGATTGCAGCACTTTGTTTCATCTCGAATGGCAAATATGGTTAGCGTATGAAAAATATAAAAAATATTGGGCAGTTCTCCTGCCAACTTTCCCGCAGTGCACAGGTGCTCAGTGAGAAGCACACATCTGAATCTTCATTTAAGCACGGTGCACGGTAGTGAAAGGCTTGGAAAAACCAATTGATTCTAAAATATTCGGCTAAAACCACCATTCGCTTTGAGCACAGAATTCACTATTCGGACATGCCTACTTGATGCTTATGCGACATGTCAGCATCTTCTTGCAGCCTAATTTTTATTTCACATACACTTCTTTGTTTTACTGTGCACTCATAGCACTCTACCAAGCACTTATTTAGATAAGGGGTCTCCTAACCCCAGCCCACAGCCCATTTCCAGCAGGCGCTCTGCGACTGGCGCAACAATAAACGGATGTAAAGAAACGGCGATGCTCACCAAAAGCTTGGTATCCCCTGCTAATCCTTATCCCGCTGATAGTTACGTGTGAATTTTATTGCACATTGTTACCATCTCCATTCTTAGTCCCCTGTTTCGTGTCTGTGTAACTGTGTTAAAAGCAGTTCTCGTGTATGTTGTGCTTAGTGCCCTGTATCATATGTGTCGCATATTTCCATCACCAGTCCTACCATTCTCATTTGTCTTCTACCGCGTGTAAATATTCTGACGTTCATATTCGCTTTGACTTATGCCTCGAGAATTTTCTGTGCTATGATTATTGTGTGATGTCATAATTAGCTACATATTGAATTATACACCATACATATACTGTATATTCTTCTGTATTACTCCCGAGTCTCGTTATTTGCGTGTAGGCGTTCTATTAATACACCTTGGATTCTTTTTTCTATTTTACTCCTTTCTGAATTTTTGCATTGAAATGTCCATTTTACGTAGGTAGTATATCTATTTAGGAATTTTTTTTTTTTTTGCCCTATTTATATCGACTTGTTTTTTTTCCGGCCCTCAAGGCCGCAACAGACACCTAATCGGGCCCCTTAGCCATAAAGTTTGGAGACCCTGGATTTATATGAATAAATGCCTGATCCGCACCTTTACAATGCAGCATTAGAACTGGGGATTTGTGAGATGCACTTGGTGCACGTGCAGTAAACATCCCTTTATCCAGGCAGTGTGTCCTAATTCGTTTTTCAGGCTTTCTGGTCACTCATATCTGCCTAACTTGATGTTTTTATGAGACTACCAATGATCACCAGACTTTCCACAAGAGCACCAACAATCACCAGACACTCCTGCATCGACTCCTTCTCGTCTACTTCGTCTGCTACTAAGCTGACAGTGTGGTGGAAGTTACACGCTTGCTAGATCAGTCCATCTCCCACTTTCTACCGAAGAATATGATCACGTTGTGCAAGATTGACGGTTAACTAGTCTGACGAGTATGTACCTTTCTCCGCCCTGTCAGCTTAGCAGTGAATGGAGTATTCACGTTTGTAGGGGTGGTCCAGTTGCACCATTTACGCCATTTTGATAAATTCCTGGTTGCCTGTGCCTTGCTGTGCCCAAAGGGAGAAATCACGCCAAACTGGGCCAAACTGTCCCAAAGTATCCATCTGCCAATGAACCGGTTCGGCTTCTCAGTGGTGATGGTTAGCCAGCGTACATCAATCCTGCTAACCTTTGTTCGCTAGCACTAATGGCAAGAAAGCGCAAATTTCACTAAGTTTATGGCACAGCTAGCTTCACAGCCGTCAAAGTGCAATATGGCTAATATGCAGTATAACTGCTAACATTGGGTTTTTAATTGGCGTCACGGCGTAGTGATTCCATGAATCATGCTGGTATCCCTAATAGAGAACTGCACTAAATTGTTCCAGAATTACGTATGTGCTGCTTCAAAGCTGCTCCAAACTGCAAACAAGCTTTTGACTGCTCCAAAAATTGCTCCAAACTCAAAACTGGCTGGACCACCCATGCATTTGCAAGTATGGCCTCTGGTCGCCGCCGTCTTGCCACCAGTGTGTGTAGATTGTCCAACAGTAAAGGGCTTACCAAGGGGTGCCCCCAATTGCCCGACTGCTGCCTTAACAAAGCTCTTTCCACCCACGATGGCCAGACTAGGTTTTGAAGTGTGGTTTCTTACAGATGTGTACACCACATGTCCTCATTTTGGGTTTTCAGTAGCCCAATGCTCCTCAGAGTACCCTCATGCGTTCCTCAAGTTTCCTCGCCCATCCTCTCACCCAAGTGCTCTTTCAGCTTTATGCACCGTTTTAGAATATCCGGGCCATCCACTGGAAACGAGTTGAATACTTGCTAGTATTTGCGTTATTGTTTACAAGCTCTGCAGGCTTCTGCACTGCTTTAATGTACCAGCGCCGAGGCCGGGAGGGGTTCATCAGCCATGTATCAGAAGAGAGAGGCGTTGCTTGAGATCAAAGCAGAGTGCAAGTTTGTCTGCTTCTTGCGCAGGGGTTGCCTTGACTTCAGAATGCCGAGCTCTGATTGGCTCCAATTGGAAGAATAGTGGGTAGATTTAAAGGCATCTAGCATTAAGGTCTACCCACTATCCTTCAATCAAAGCCAATCGGAACTCGGCATCATTCTGATGTCACCGCGACCCCTGCGCAAGAAGAAGACGACCTGCCCTCTGCATAAATTTGAGAACCCCTCGTGTATATCGTCTGGATATTCACTGCATGGCTTTTCTGTATCCTTCATTTCTCCATCACATCCTGACGACTGCAGTCTGTTGTGTTTCCTCACTCCCCTTGCTTTCGTGCCCATGTTTGGTCTTCAGAGATGCCCCTCTGTTTTGTGTCCTGCACGCCAGGTGGGCGACGTGAACCTGGAGAGCGTGACTCACGAGGACGCCGTAGCGACGCTGAAGAACACGGGCGACCAGGTGGTCCTGACGGTGGTCAAGAGCCAGCCCTTCTCCTTCATCCACCACTCCCTGCCCCCGCCCCCCGCTCCCCCCGTGCAGGAGACACGGCTGGGGACACCCCCCCGTGAGTGGGCCCTTCTTTTTTCCTTTTCTTTAAAGGGACACTGACAGGGTATTTATGCTCGCCAAGGTTTGAATTTGTACATGACATATGCAACCCCAACTACCCAGAACACAATTTGCGGCTCGAAACTCTTTTTTTCGCCCGAAAACCGCCGATTAAGAACTGGCCAGTTTGAGTCGCACTCACTCTCTTCTTTATGGTCATGTGCCGTTTTCTAAGGTTTAGACACAACCACCAAAGAAAACCAAAGTCGTGGGTCATCGAAGGCACACACTCAATGCTAAAAATCGACAAAAAATATGATACCCATTTTGTAAAAAGCTGCAAATATGTTGATTGAGAAAAACAAACTTGCACAGCCTCATAACTTCCGGTAACTTTTTCCTCCTCTATATTTTTCTTCCTCCCCAGACCAATTTCAGTTTCGAGCAGTGCATTTTTTTTTTTTTTTTACTTTATTAAATATATACATGACGCTGTAGCAAAATATTGATTAGTCTTCTGACACCACAATGGATCGCCTGGCAAGAAATAAAAGCGTTTTTTTGGGGGGGTGTCAGTGTCCCTTTAAAGGGGCACTCAACTGCCGAGAAAAGTTTTAGCAAAATATTTACGCCATGAAACAGATATGCCAAAACTGATGTTAGCTTCTATTGCAAGGTCGACGTCTAACTAACTCAAAATGGGTCTCGCAGCACAAATATCATGCTAAATAAAAGTTTTATTTCGGCTAAAACTGATTTTGTAACATTATTGGTAAGTCCCCTAAATAAACTTTGGCACAGTATTTACTCCGTGAGAATCATCTTGAGTTTGAGGCGAACCCGAGACAAACTCTTATTTTGAGACATTGACGTCAAAATAAAAGCTATTTTTGATTTTGCAAAACATGTCTCGGAACATACCCAATACTGTTGTGTTCCTGTGCCCAGCTATTAACATTTCTAAAACTTAGGAATTCTGGATACGTTAAGTGCTCGATTTGACCAGACAAACGCCCATGTCTAGATTAACCAAATTTTGAGTAAAAGTGGGCTGGGCACTCCCCTTGTATTTTACAATAAGTTTTTCAGTAAAAGGACTTTTTACGGGAATTTGCAAAATGTATGTTTTGTTTGTGCACTTTAAAAAAATTGTTTTTGGACTTCAGTGTCTTTTGAAGAAAGAAAAATGTCATCCGGACCTCAGTGTCTTTAATACTACATCAGTTCTCTCAGAAAAAGGAGGTGAGATATTGCTCAGCTTTAACATGCATTGTTTTGTATGTCTGTTTTCCCCATATTGTATGGAGAGAAATCACAAGGATGTTACTAAAGCAGTGTATGGATTACAGTGCAGCAGTGATGCCTCCATTCAAGTATGTGCTCTGTGCTGCAACACCTAACACAACTTCTCATCTGCAATGTCAATTGCAATTTTGGAAAGGAAGTTTCCAGGCCTCATCATTTGCTAGGCTCGTGTCATGGTCACTGTTAATGAGTAAATGCATGATTTTTGTTGATGCAGAAGGTGAATTAATATAAAACAAATATGGTGTTATTTTGCAATTTTATGCCAGCTACTTATTTTTTTACAGTATATAGCTTTCAAGTTCACTCAGTGAAACTGAAGGTATGTCTGTTTGTAACAATATTTGCAGGCCAAATGTTGGAAAGTTGTTGTAGCCAGCAGAAGGTGATAGTATATGATCTGCTGATTTATATGACTGATTATTGAGCCTTGGTTTTGTTGGTTTTCTTAACGCACAACTTGTGATCTACAGTAGAGATGCCAGGCACCAACTGGGGCTGACTGACTTTCTGCCATCTAAACATACACATAATGCAACACAATTTCCAACTTTTTTGGTGAATTCCTTTCACTTCTCGCTGGTGAGCGGCTTCAGCTTTGGTGCAGTGTGGACTACGACGGAGCCTTCTCGACTGTCAGTACCGCTCGCGCGACATCACATGATTTATCGAAACATGATTTATCCTTCTACCGTCTGCTAGATGCAAGTATGGAACTAACTGTAAAATACCAAGGGAACACCCATTCCACTTTTGCTGGAAACTGGATAGATCTAGGCATGGGCACTTAACGTATAATTTGCATAATTCCCAAGTTTGGGAAATGTCAATGGTGGGCGCTTGAACAAAGTGGGCGCTTTCGCGGTATTTTGCGGTAAAGGGCTACCATGACTGAACCTGACACAGGGACCAAAAAAGTAAGACAAGTAAAAAAGAGGGACAGCACACAACGTCTTGAGTTGTCCCTCTTGTTTTGTGTCTTCCTTTTCCTCCCCTGTCTCAGGTTCAGTTATGTCGGGTGGTCACCGGCTTGCCTGCGCACTCACCCTTCTTTCAGTAAAAGACTATTGTCGCCAGGGCATGTCCCCACCAGCCTGGTTCGTGAGCCTGGCTGCCATTCCGTTGCCTATAAGGAAATCACTCCCCTCTACATCTGCAGCCCCTTGCAGCGGCAATGGAACGGCCACTTTCTCTCTCTTCCTTTCTGTTTTTTTTCATTCCTTGCTTTTTTTTTTTTTACTGTCTTTTTTTCTTTTGTTTTTTTACACTTTTTTTTGTCTCTTACACCTAGGTTTTCAGTAGTAGTTCAGATCCCAGTTTTGCTGGCTTCTGCTTGTATTCATGCATCCTGTTTTCTGATGAGGCAGTTGTATATAAACACCCGGGAGACATTTGTGCGGTAACCTCTAGGACACAAAACGTATCATTCTTAGGAAAATCTTCGAGTTGTGTCTTTAGTGTGTTTTTAGGGCCCAGGTGTGTCATTAGGAGTGGTTATCAGTGGGGGACCCAGGAGTCATTTTTATGTCGGGGGGGCTTATCTTTTTACGTCGGAACTCGGACAGTTTGAATTCCTTACGCATTCTTGTTTTTGTGTTACCTCACTTCTCAGTCTCCTATTTGTATGTTGCCTCGTAGATTGCGGGTAATTCCGTAGCATTTTATGGCATGCGCTACGACACAGGGTCCAGGAGGTGCGAGCCAGGATAGCAAGCTAGGTTAATAGCATGGAAGTTTGAAGCTCCAGTAAGTTTAAGATGTTGAATTGGCCAAGTTCAACTTCATGACAAGCAATAAGATTGCATTTAAGATATTATAACCAGATTTTACTATTTAACTATAAAAAGATAAATGTTCAAACTGCCATATTCTACCGCCAGTTGAATCAACCTAAAAGATACATTTTTTTTTTTTTTTTTCGGTTCTGCGTATTTGTATTTTTTTTTTTTTTTGTGCCTTTTCTGTGTCAAAAACTGTTGTTTTGCTAAATACACCAACTCATGTTTACAAACAAGCCAGCACCAGGCATGCACGATGGGGTGTGGACAAGTTGCACCGCGTCCAGCACTAACAGACCATTGAAATATAATGCGAGTCCCCGTGCTCTTTTTCACGTCAGAATTGTTGATTTTATGTCTTCCTAGCAATGTCTTACTACTTTAGTGGCTTAAGCGAAATTAGTGAGGCTCATTACACCGCAAAGCTTTATGAAAATAATGTGGCTTGCGGCGATTCATTCCCCGTGAATGCCACAGAATGGACTCTAAAGCCTGATTTCGCATGATGAGATTCTGCTCGCTATTTTCATTTGTGACATTGCGTGAGCTGCAAAAGTGTGGACGATAGCTGCGAAGCTTGACGTCTATACTGAAAATCGCAAGCAGAATCGAACCAAGTGAATCAGGCATAACAGGTCGGTGATGGTGGTAACAATGACCCAACATATCCCCGTGTACTTACTGTTTGCACCAAGCAACCCTCAAACTTAAAAGTTTCTTGAGGCCTGCACTTACTTATCACAATGTTTGGACTATTGGGCCCTGTCATTTGAACAAACAGACAACAGGTTGATTGAATTTGAAAGAGCGGACGACAGTTTGAACGAGTTTAAAAGAGCAGACAACAGTTTGAACAAGTTTAAAAGAGCAGACGACAGTTTGAATGATCAGACAGCCGTTTGAAAGGGAAGACGCATGTGGTCTGGACAACTTGACGGTTTTCCCACATCCATGTTTGAACAAAGCAAATAAATGTGAATTTAACCAAATTGCTTCCCACACAAGCAGTCGTGGTCCGACGGTGTCTGCTTTTTCCTTTTCACGGCACCTATATACGTTCTCGGACGAACCGAGCCAGCAGAAAACACATGAAAACTAATCACACCTTTCCCGGCTCTTTTGGTACAGCCCCAGTCATGGCGTTTTGGCGAGAAGGCAGGTTTTAGCCCGGTTTCTTTCATAACAACACAGGAATGCTCGTTCTGTATGGGAACTTCCTCCCACAGCCCCAGACCGGAAGTGCTCCCGACGCGCCACCACCGCGCCGTGACATAACAGAGTTGAGTTTGTGTATAATTTGCTCATCTCTTCACGGTCTCCTTTAAAAAGTTTTCTGGATTACTGTAGCCCATATACCTGTGATTTCTTTTTTTTTTTACAGCGGAGCTGTTAAGGGCTAGGTTCCCCAGGATCGTGTCCGTGTATGTCGACACAAACCTACCTGGACATCTATAGACCGGCACGCTGTTTACAAACAAGCCCTCATTTGCCCACACCAGGTGTGGGCACTGCGCGTGCGCAGAAACTGAATTCACGTGAAGTGAATCGTCTGCTCATGCGCAATGCCGTCGACAGCGCCACCGCAGCTGCGTGACCTCACGGCCGCGCTTTGGTCTATAAGCGACGGCGGCAAGCACACAACCATTATGGTTTCTGCCGTCGCTCGTAGATGGCGGCAACCTTTCCAACTATAATAGAAGAATGGATAGTTGGGCGCAGTGGTGGGAATTCATCGTAGGAAACAGCGCAAAAAACAGACGACGACAAAGAAGAAGCACACAGTGTATCGAGTACAGCTCCGCTGGTCTTCCTTCTTCACGAGAGTGGAAAGGCTGAACGATTTTTTGTGAAACAAATTTTTCAATTGTGGCTGCACAAATACACAGGTTTTTCTTCTTTTTTGTTTTATAATAAGTGATGCAGAGCTGTTTAA